CACCTGCATCATCATCAATTGGACCTTAAAGGACGATGGTCAATTTATTCAGATTGGCCTTATGTTTCAGAGCAACATAATTTTTGGTATCAAAATGACACTTTATTAAAAACAATCAATGAATTTTGTTGTTTCATCTTTATATTGATATTTTCAAGCCTATTAGATAACCTGAAGAAAAAGTGATCCAGTAGTCGTAGACTTACTGTATAATTGTTAGGCCACTGCCGGTGTAGTGCCCAATCACCACCAGAAGGACCTCACTGGAAAGAAGTATTCTTCTGACTTTTGTGGGTTATCCCGGGTGTTTACACCGAATATATCCATCGACCCATAAGGGACAGATATAGAGAAAGAATTTTGTTTAGAAATGGTGGAGACCACAGACATTAAAAAAAATAGCTTGTTTTGGAGTAGGCCTACACTGACGTCATGCTCCCTCCTTTCTGGTCTTTCTTTTCTCTTTCTTCTTTTTTTTTGGGGTGAGGGTTGGGGTAGACCCGTGTCTCCTGGACCCACCTTGAAATGATTGATTAAATGATAGTTTGATAATACTTCATTATATTGGCAAAGCTAAGAAAATGCACGTGCAAATGCATAGACCTAATATATATACGTATGTTGCACGCAAATATTCAAATTAAAAATGTGTGTGCAAAATATTATTCACACAACATTTGTTGGCATTGTCTAATAATTAAAGTCTTTTCATCCTTAACACTTATCTCTAGGGGATTACCCACCCTGGTGTCACTTCGTGAGCAAAAAGATTTTACTGATATGCATGGTGCTCATAACATTGTTTGGGCCTGGGACCCATGACTCGTCGTTGCACCACTGGGAGGACCATGTCTATTAATGTTATAACAAATCAATCAGCCAATCAAATATATTATACAACACATAACATAACAGTACCATTGTTCATAGCTACAAGTATTTACTGTATGTAGAATCATCAATAAATAGAAAAACACAACATACTGTATTTGCCTTGGCCACCATGAAGTAAGAGTGGGGCCCCTGGCCTATCTGGGGTTCTTTTGGACTCAGAGGAACTAAGCATTTCCCCAGAAAGCACAAAGGTGTACATATCTGGTCAAACCTCCATAGTAAAATGATAGGTCGTAGTTGGACTGACCCCTTCTAATAAATCAGCCAAAGAGTGTGTTTGTGGGATTTTGTTCTATTTGATTATTTTGAAAATTATAGAAAAAGTTACCGTATTGTCAAGGCATTTTAGTAGAGTGATGGGTAGTACACTAGTAAGAAGGGCTCGGCCCCCATGGCCACTTAAGGACCTATTTGAACTGGGACTTGGCCCATAAAGCACATGCGTTATGCACGATAAGGCTCGATAGTAAAATGGTAGTTAGTAGCAAGAGATTTTTTTTCTAGTCTATTGATTGTTATTAAAAAGTTTAAAATTAATTTTAGTGCTAGCAATTATTTAATTGATGGACATATATATCTATGCTTTAGTGGGAAGTATAATATGTATCAATAGCTGTTTAATATATAGTATAATGATTAAAGCCTAATTAGGCGATTTTAGTGTGCACCCTTTAAATGTGTAGTAAATTTGTTTAGATAATATTAAATTGTGTGTATTGACATTTGGTACACTGCATTTCAAACAAGTGGTATTCGGCAAACTGGATTAAATAATGTTTGAGTCGGCAATTTAACATTCAGCATAGGGTTTTGGCAAAGTGGAGTCGGCAATCCAACCAGATTCTGGACAGCATACGATAAATTAAAATTAATAATTTGTTAGACTTTTATAGCACTTAACGCCAACAAGGCCTCTATACGTGATTCACATTATTACCCCCAGTCATTGAATTAACAGATTGGACAAAAAAATTCAATTTCAAAATTTGTATAGTGTTTGATGAAATTACCTACCAACATATTATAGATACTGTGTGCCAGTTCTGCAATTTGGTGGCTTTACTGAAGTTTACCATAATGAAAACAAAACATCTTATAATTGTCCAAAACATGATCAATAAATTAGATTGAAGCATAATATCTTTTAATCAATGTAATATCACAGTGACCAATAGTTATCAGTATAGCACTAATTCTAGGAACAACTCAGTAACATTAATGTTAGAATCAGATTCCTATAAATTTTCTTATAAAAAAAATTTATTAGTGAATAAAAACATATAGGCCTACAGTACCTCCGAGTCCTAGCTACTTTCATACCAATATCAGTAAGTTTAGTTGTAAAAATGTCAGACAATGAGAACTTAGATGACACGCACAAATTTCCCCATCAAACAAAGCTTCTCAATACTTAAATATAAATAAAAGTTATTGAATTGTAGCTCAGATACATCAAAATCCTATAATAATAGTGTCAATGTTCAAACATGGATTTCCTGTCATTTTGTTGGAAAAAAAATTAGCATTTGAGGAAATAGGTAATTGCATAGCCTAGGCCTGTACTGAATATTGTTAAGAAATCACCAGTGGCGGTGTATCTTCAAACCAAAGTTACTATCATTTTGTTTTACTATTATCCATGCGTATTACATGTGTGTGTGTTTGGGATGGTTTTTTGACCTAAAAACGGTGTTTTCGATAATAAAAATTTTCCTGGTATTTTTTTGAGAAATATTCATGTTACGGCTTATAGAAATATATGTATTCTGAGTAATATGAGACCACTTCCATTATGAGACCAACTTTAACTCTCCTGCACATTTATTAACAGACTTGCGGAGTTTTTTAAACTGCAAATTTTACTAAAACTGGCTTTTTTCAAAATTAAGTACATACATTTTTATGCAAATCTAATAGAAATACATGTGTTCTCTGTAATATGAGACCAAACCCAACTCTTCTGCACGAACACTAACAGAGTTACAGAGTGTTCCTTAAATTTGACCAAACCGGCTTTTTTAAAGTTAAACCAATTATATATTTATGCACAACTTATTATTGGAATTTCTTTCTTAATATTTGTTATTTGTCATTATTGTCACTTTAGCTGTCATTTGTCACCATTGAATAAGTGGGAACATTCGGTGGCTCTGAAAACATGAAAATTATTTTTAAAAATAGGTTTTTTTGGCCTAAAACGGCGGTCTTTGGTAATAACTTTTTTCCTAGTATTTTGTTTGAAATTGTTTTATTATGAGTCATGATTAATAATTAATTGTAACTTATATAAATGCTTATATTATATAAGGTAAAATGTAATATTAATGAACATTGAGAATAAAGACAATACAGTAATAATATATTTTGGTTGTATCAGCTCAGTATGGGCAACACTCATACAGAGATACGTTAAACCATATCTGAGGGATTGAATAACACTTTTAATTGAAAATGCGCTATATAAGTTATTATTTTTCAACCAATGGAAACTCAAATATAATATAAAAAATGTAAATTACCTCTTGTACTATTTTATATGTTTTCAATATCAGTTTATTTGGTATTGAATAAATTATCTAATTTAATTTTAACAATTCATTTTGGCAATCAAAAATATATATCAATCATTATATTAATCATAATGCAAAATGTATAGTGTAATATAAATTAGGTAATATCTGAATTACAAGAATAGATGTTTTTTTTCAATTTTCCTATACCAATGAAAACTTATATATATATATATATATATATACAGTATATATAATCTCCAAAAATCTTACCTGTTAATTTGCTTCATTTTATGCAGCAATCATTAGTTTTCCACATTTTGTTTTTTGCAATGGACATATTAATTGATGTATTGGCGTATTCTTCCTCTCCCCAATAACTGTTATGCGTTATTCCCTCTGCAACAGACTTGTATACATAATATTTTTATGTAGCAAATATTAGTAATTGGCATAGTTTTCCACATTTTGTTTTTGGAATGGATTTATTAATTGATGTATTGGCGTATTTTTCCTCTCCCAAATAACTGTCGACTTATTAATTGAAATTGATTTATTGGCATATTCTCTCTTTCCCTAATAACATATGCGTTATTCCCTCTGCAACAGACTTGTATACATAATATTTTTATGTAGCAAATATTAGTAATTGAAATAGATTTATTGGCATAGTTTTTGCAATGGACTTATTAATTGATGTATTGGCATATTCTTCCTCTCCCAAATAACTATCGACTTATTAATTGAAATTGATTTATTGGCATATTCTCTCTTTCCCTAATAACATGTGTTATTCCCTCTGCAACAGACTTATATACATAATATATTCTTTATTATTTCAGTGAACCTGTTCGACAATCTGGTATTGGCTTTCTAGAAAATCGTGCGATTATCTATTTGAAATAAATATTCATTGTATATTTAATAAATATTATAGTAGTGTAATAATAATTATTCATTGTATATATCATTTAATAATAAATATTGGAAATACTCTTCATTGTATTCAAAGTTTGTCTTGTCTTGTGTTTTGCAGCGTCCAATAGCAGGATGTGCTAAAAAAAAAAAGCGCCCTCGTATAGAAAAAGGCCCAAAATATGACTAAGTTTTTTGGCAACTTTAGTCTGTGGAGTTCTGGTAAAAATAGTGAAGAAAAGCGCCCTCAAACAGCCCTTTTACCCTAAGTTCTTTAGGGTCTCTTAATTGTCAATGGGGGAAAAAGCTCCCTCTAAAACCATTTTTTCCAGAACTCCACAATTGTCACTTATTAAACTGGCAATTGAGGGGCACCTGAAAAACTGGCTTTTAGAGGGCGCATTTTACCATACTTTTAATAGAAATTGACAATTAATGACCCTGAAAAACATAGAAATAAAATGGCTATAGAGGGCACTTTCCAGCACCACAGGGAACCCCTTTAAACAGAAATTTAGAGACCCTGGTAATTTTGTGTTTCTATTAGAGGGCACTCTCCAGCACCACTTTAATACAAATTGAGGGAAAATGGGAAACTTGGTCCTTTTTCTTTTAGAGGGCGCTTCTTTCGTCTTGCCAGCTTATCCAGTCTTCAGACACGACCAGCAAAGAAACACGTCAACACATTACTTATATTTTTTATTATAAAATCTTCACAACAAAATCATATGAATTGATATATGAATTTACATAAACATGCAAAAAATTAATTACAGGAAATTGTTTCTCTTGGTTCAATATTTTACAATGATGCAAGCTCTCTTCAATCTGCAATAAACTTTTTAAAAGTAATTTCTCAAATTCCTTCGATATTCTGATAAAAAATACAATCGCGTGTCATGTTTTCTTTTACTGTGATTAAGCTGTCTCAATATTCAGCAAGACGTTGTCTTATCTTATCTTGCAAACTATTAGCCATCACCAATTAAATTAACTAAAAGTTAAAATGCAAGTTAATTATAATAGTAGTCCTGGTTACTCTTCCTCATCTTGTTGCAATTCGCTATAATACTGTATAGTCAATATTTCAGAATGACAAGTTTTCTTCATCCAGTAACTCGTTAAAGATACAAATCATTGTTTTGGTCTTTCACCACGATTACTCTTTTGAACTGTGCAAGATGTTCCATCTAAACTTCAGTATACTTTTCCTGTCTTGCAACATTGGTCATGCTCTGTTGCTGTATCTGCCAAAAATAAAATTTAATAAAGAATGAGAAAAAGTAGATACAGAGAAACAATTTTTAAAAGTTAAACAAGATCAGACTAATAAATTATAATTTCATAATGTAACTTCATTATATTTCACTTAATACTTACAGTGCCATTGATACTTTGATACAATGTCTTGCAGTAAGGATTTGTCTGTCCTCTGCAAACAAAAGAAAGCCAATTAAATAGCTGCCAAATAAATTAATTGAAGAAACCAACAGAAAGCAGGCTAAGACAAGGACCGAACATGAGGATACTATTAAAAAAATAAGAACAGGAAAGATAAAAAAAATGAAGAAACCTGAAAAGAGGCTGAGAATGAGGAACAGTTGATGTACTTTCAGATAGATAATATAGGTAAACAAGATATATATATATATATATATATATATATATCAAATATGAAGTTGATACATCAAATGTTCATATTGTTTTTTTAATCTAACAAAACTTAAAATATTAAATGAGATATATATCAAATATATATCTCATTTAATATTTTAATTTCCGTTAGATTAAAAAAAAATATGAAAATCAACATATTTGTTCTTTCCCTGCACGCAGAATTTATGAACAGACTCACGCCCATTCTGTCATTCATTTGCAAGCTAATGTGTTCCAACATTTTAACGAATATTACATTAGCATGGGTGGATCTAGTAGGGGGAAAGGGGCACTCACCCCCCCCCCCACGTTTTGACACTAAATTTTAAACATTTCAATGCAAATCAATGTTATTCTGGTTAGCAAAATAATATAATAATAATTTGTTCACGATTTCAACATTACTAAGTTTCCTTATGGCCTTTTAGCTCTATTACTGTAAGTTTCAAATCGTCTCATGATAAATGAAGTTAATAAATTTTACCTTAGGAGGCCTATCTTATGATCATTAATTTCCTTTCACAATAATATAACATCAGTGTGATTTCTATATTGTTCTTATTTTAGCAATAAATTAATTTGTATTCACTATGCATAATAGCTGGTAGAGTTCACCATTCATATTCGTTTTCGAGGTATTCACATAGTTGCATACACAAACATACACGTTCAATTCAATAAATTCATTTAACTCGCATATCAAGAGTGTGTATACATTTGCTGATTTCAACCATACAGGTACAGTACCTCATACATCAGTAGTCTCGACTGCTAATGTTACTTTGCACCTTTTTAGTTCGGCAGCTCACAAAGTTGCATTTCCAGGAAAGGTCGGAGTTGCTTTTTTCGTTTCCGGCTGTTTTGCATCCACGATACTCTGGTCGAGGTTAAAGCTTGCCTTTCCTTCAAAACATGCCCCAGAAATTTGATTGTTTCGTACCCAATAAAACACTTGTTGGGATGTGCTGTCAAGTTTGCCGCTCGTAATCATTGAAACAATTCCTTTAGTATTACTTCATGCTGTTCCTAAGAAGCAGTGTGAATAAGAATATCATCAATATAATTGAGGATGTCATTCATACCATACAACAATTTTCTCATGATCCTACTAAAAGTAACTGGTGCATTCACTAAGCCAAACGGCATAACTTGAAATAACCTATTTGGGGTCACAACTGAGGTGAGGGGTTTAGAAGCTTCTTCCATAAGAACCTGCCAGTAACCTTTACTGAGATCTATTTTATAAATGATCTTTGGCAATTTCGTGAACAATTCCTCCTGATCCGGTATTGGTTCGGACCTCCTTCCTTTCTAGGGTTTTTTAAAATCGACTTGGCAAGATAGATATTCTATCTCGCCATGATGACATGAACTTTTTGTGAAGTCACCATGACAACATATAATTGTTACTATGTCAACGTGGCAAGATAATCTAGCCTATATCCCATGACGGCGAGTGCTTTTTGGAAGTCAACTTGGCAAGATAATGTATCTCACCATGGCAACTTTTAAAAGTTGATAAGTCGACATGGCATGAAAACTTATCGGTGCATGTCGACATGATTTGATATATATATATATATATATATATATATATCAAATATGAAGTTGATACATCAAATGTTCATATTGTTTTTTTAATCTAACAAAACTTAAAATATTAAATGAGATATATATCAAATATATATCTCATTTAATATTTTAATTTCCGTTAGATTAAAAAAAAATATGAAAATCAACATATTTGTTCTTTCCCTGCACGCAGAATTTATGAACAGACTCACGCCCATTCTGTCATTCATTTGCAAGCTAATGTGTTCCAACATTTTAACGAATATTACATTAGCATGGGTGGATCTAGTAGGGGGAAAGGGGCACTCACCCCCCCCCCCACGTTTTGACACTAAATTTTAAACATTTCAATGCAAATCAATGTTATTCTGGTTAGCAAAATAATATAATAATAATTTGTTCACGATTTCAACATTACTAATTTTCCTTATGGCTTTTTAGCTCTATCACTGTAAGTTTCAAATCGTCTCATAATAAATGAAGATAATAAATTTTACCTTAGGCGGCCTATCTTATGATCATTAATTTCCTTTCACAATAACATAACATCAGTTTGATTTCTATATTGTTCTTATTTTAGCAATAAATTAATTTGTATTCACTATGCATAATAGCTGGTAGAGTTCACCATTCATATTCCTTTTCTGCACCACGAGGTATTCACATAGTTGCATACACAAACATACAGGTTCAATTCAATAAATTCATTTAACTCGCGTATCAAGAGTGTGTATACATTTGCTGATTTCAACCATACAGGTACAGTACCTCATATCAGTAGTCTCGACTGCTAATGTTACTTCGCAACTTTTTAGTTCAGCAGCGGTCGGAGTTGCTTTTTTCGTTTTCGGCCGTTTTGCATCCAGGATACTCTGGTCGAGAGTTAAAGCTTGCCCTTTCCTTCAAAACATGCCCCAGAAATTTGGTTGTTTCGTACCCAATAAAACACTTGTTGGGATGTGCTGTCAAGTTTGCCGCTCGTAATCATTGAAACAATTCCTTTAGTATTACTTCATGCTGTTCCTAAGAAGCAGTGTGAATAAGAATATCATCAATATAATTGAGGATGTCATTCATACCATACAACAATTTTCTCATGATCCTACTAAAAGTAACTGGTGCATTCACTAAGCCAAACGGCATAACTTGAAATAACCTATTTGGGGTCACAACTGAGGTGAGGGGTTTAGAAGCTTCTTCCATAAGAACCTGCCAGTAACCTTTACTGAGATCTATTTTATAAATGATCTTTGGCAATTTCGTGAACAATTCCTCCTGATCCGGTATTGGTTCGGACCTCCTTCCTTTCTAGGGTTTTTTAAAATCGACTTGGCAAGATAGATATTCTATCTCGCCATGATGACATGAACTTTTTGTGAAGTCACCATGACAACATATAATTGTTACTATGTCAACGTGGCAAGATAATCTAGCCTATATCCCATGACGGCGAGTGCTTTTTGGAAGTCAACTTGGCAAGATAATGTATCTCACCATGGCAACTTTTAAAAGTTGATAAGTCGACATGGCATGAAAACTTATCGGTGCATGTCGACATGATATGTATATTATGTCGACTTGACAAGATAATTAATCTCGACATGTCGTGAAGTAGGATGGCAATTAGGCGCTTCCTTAAAAACTAGTATGCTTTATTTTAACGCCGGTAGTGGTGTAAATAATCTATGCGATCTACAAGTTACCATAGCCAATGAAACTATATTGGATTCCAAACTGTTACTAATGCAGCAATACGCTATCTTTCGTAAAGACAGGAATCGCCATGGAGGAGGAGTAGGCCTACTGATTGCTGCCAACTGACCTTCATCCCGTTTTGGCACATCAATATGATATAGATGAAATTGAGTTAATATGGACAATTTTATATACTAAAAAAGGGCAAGGTCATTTATATCGACCTCCGAAAACTGAATTGATGTTGTACTTGCTGACATGCACCTCTTTCATAGCGATTTTAATATTAGATTTTCCTGCAATAATTTTAACTCATGTATTTTACTCAAGAAACTTACTTCCATTTTTGATATTTTAAATTTTACTCAAATTGTCCCTTATGTAACTAGAAGACACAGTATTAACAGTAATGATGATACCATAATTGATCATGTATATGTAAACAAAATGGAATTGATTCGATAGCCCACCACCCAGGTTTAACAGGTAGTGGACCGTGATGGTATATTTATTAATTTTAATTTCGCATTTGTAAATCACTCTCTTCCTGCAAGTTATTTCTACAGTATTCCAAGGTAGATGTGAAAATTTTTATAAAAACTTTTTTCCGAAATCAACTGGGAACCATGTTTTCTTTGAAAAGAATTTCGAAACTGAGTTTTCTCCAAGCAATCTACCAAGCTTAACTAGGTCAACCAGGTTAAGCGAAAATGCTAGTAATTATATATAATAGGTGTCAACACATTAAACCAGGTTATTTCTTACAAATACATCGGGGTAACTTTTACCTCAAAATTATATTGGGGCTTGCATGTTACTCAGACCAGATCTAAGGCTTCGAAACTAACCAGTTTTATTAAGTGATTTGTTCTTTGTAGGGATACTGTTGTAATTCCAAAATTAGTTTGTGTTATTGTATGTCCAATTATTGAATACGGTATACCTGCTTGGTTGCCGCATCAAAAGGGACATCTCAACTCACTTGAATAAGTTCAGCGCCGAATGACTAGAGCTTTTTTCAATTGAAGAGATCTTTCCTACGAACTACGTCTTGAATTAATCTCAGTTAAAAACCATTTTCAGCTTCTATGTCATCTTTTTAAATTAAAGTAATATTTATGATATAATATAAGGGTGGTGGTAGTGGTAATAATGATATTATATTATTATTATTATTATTATTATTATTATTATTTTCATTATTATTATTATTATTATTATTATTAATATTATTATCGTGTGTTTATTCTAAGGTATTATCTCCAAACAGTGCAATGGGAGACCTATCCAGATAGTGATTTGGTTCACTTCTCAGGAATCCTGTCTCTGCCCTGTTTGTGTTCGTTTTTTTTTTCTTTCACTGTGCCTGTTTTGCAACCTGTTCTTTGAGGAATAATAAATAGAAAGAAATGAAATTAAACATACTGGGGATTGTTGTTCCGTCAAAGTCTTTTCAGGATCTTCCGGAGGTCTTACACCTTCAATATTTCCTAATATCAAAAATCATGGATTAATCTATCCATGCAAAGGGCTTGGGTATGGCAGGAAAAAATGGAGTACGGATTTCTATTTCAGCAACAGGAAGGTTCCTAACAGTACCATCAATTAAAGCACAAGTTTTTATCTTACCAGTCAGTTGTCCAGGTAACACCAACTCTTTCTTTACCACCATACCAGTTCAACCACTGTCACAGAGAACAGAAACTAGATGCGATTCAATAGTACCTGTGGAAATTGGCATTCTCTTAGTGGTCGTTCACAATTATGAATATTTTCAGATGTGTACTAACAGTACTCTATTCCCCCTTTACCCGCCCCTCTGAAAATGTACAAAAAAAAATGGTTGCTTAAAAATGAATATTATATCCATGTTACATTGTAATTTTACAATTATTTTACATATTGCATGTTATTTTGCATAGTTACCAACCGTCTGGCATCGTGCGGGACGGTCCCGCATTTTAAAGTTATTTTGGATGTAACACGCATTTGGCAGAAACACATGCAGACATTGAATTTGTCACGCATTTAGTACAAGCAGGGAACAGTGAAATTACACTGTGTAATTTTACTGTTCCCTAGTACAAGTCTACGCGTGATGACGAATAATCACGAAATCAGAGAAAATATATTTAAAATTAGAAAAAAAAAATCAGTTTTAATAAATATATAAAACAACCATGCAACTTGAGTTATTACATAGAGAGCTTTCGAATATCTCGTTTGACATTCAATTCACCGAGAGCTTGAAGGCGCATGCGGTTTTGCGCGTTAATTGTCACAACCAACCCTTATGTACGTGACTGAAAATGCAGTTGTCAGTTTACGTAAATACTTACTTTATTGACGCTTTACAAAAAATGGATTGGTATGGTATGTTAACTGGTTCTGGTTATGCAGACCTTCTATGGACTCCAAACGTGTAGGACCATGGTTCTTAATACTAGGCGGCTCACGAGCCAAATTTGGCCCATGAAGCTATTTAAAAAAAATCAAATTAAATCATTTGATAAATAATGTTATCATTATAAATGAAGACAACAACGCAATACCCTTTTGAAAAAGAAATATATATATTAATTACCAAAAGTCAAAAGATCAGAAGCTTGTTATTTTTAATGTTTTATTCTTGAATTTTCTAATGTTTCTTGATTAATTTTAATTAATTATTTAAAATACAAAAGAATTTGTTTTTTGTATTAGTTTCAAGTTCATTTAAAGAGAAGTTTCTGTACTTTGGGAGAAACTGTTTAT